CATTAGGAAACTGTTTACTGAGCTAAATCAAGAGGTCAGCTCATTTTTCCATAACACTTAAGTCCCCTGCTGGACGTTAGAAAGAAGGCAGGTTTAAGACACTTATGCGTTGGCGTCACTTCACTGACCCAGTAGCTCTGTCCATTATATATACTGTCAATGAGACATAACACTCTTCAGTAGACACAATCACTGTTGGTCTTTTTATGGGATTTTTTGACTATGAAAACCATTGAATATTGGCAGCCTTATCCTGTAAAAAGCTGAAGCTAGCACATAAAGATGTTGTGGCTGCATTGCATTCTGGGTTATGTGTAGAACCTGGAATCACTTGGCTTTAGGAAACACCTCTTGATGTTTCACATTGTCCACATTTATTAGTCCTGGAACATTAAAGTCTTGTCTTGTTAGGAACTGGAACTACCGCCTCATGTTTGTACGCCTCCGCCAACCAGTCGGATCTGTCTAGACTCAGAATATATGCAGTGAATATTTTGAAGGAACTGAATAAAAAGGTATCAAGTTTGGCTACATGGAAGTTATCACTATATTGATAATACATATACGTATGATTTCAGCCAATATGCATTATATCGCATTCACAAAAATGCACAGATGGACAACAGAGGTATAATAAAAGCAATAACAACTCACATATATTTATTTGTTTATTACAGAAGGTTCACAGGCGGCAACCTGGTGACAAGGATAGATAAATACAAACCTACAACCTACATTCTGATCGGCTCATTAGCACTCTGAACAGGCTCATACAGCAAAGTCCTGAGTAGTTAGAACAAAGAATAAGTTTGTGAGCAAGTTGTGTTCAGTAGCATGTAGTAGAATATTCCTACCATTTAATGGAGGGTTGGGACGGTAAATTCTCTTTCATAAAACCTAAAAGAGAAGTCACAAAATTCATATTAAATGTGGTATTTTGAGTTCTGCTGTTTCATTAGGAAATTTTGACTTAACAAAATTGTTATTTTACACTTTTGAACATTTATTGCATTACATTGCCGAGCTGGGGTTAAACCAGAATTGCTAACAAAACGAGCAAAGAAGAACAGTAAAGAAGACTTCCAACAGTAGAAACCCTGATCTTAATAAAGGACAGCTAAAATGTGAAACCGAGCCTGGAAACGAACTCCAGGAACATGTACTATTGATTTTCTTACAATTTCCCAGCATTAAAGGTCCAGTGTGTAACATTTTTGGCCATTCATTCTACATGATGAGTGCTTTTGGAGAACCAAGATATGTGGAAGTATCTTTCTTATATTACAGACACAGTAGATAGCACTGCTTGCAGGCTGTGCAGCGATCTGTAATGGGCTATTATTAATGGACTATTACGTCAAAAAGGAAACATGATTTGTATCTGCACAAGCCTCCTAGCAGTGAGTAAGACAAAGAGGTTGAGGCAAGGTGCGGGAGGATCAGTACATCCAACAGGTCTTTGTGCATCAGGTTTGCCAACACCGTTTTAAAAATAGTCCACATTCATCTATCTGTCTCACTGAGCTGTCCTCATTATTGTGGCCTGAAATAAACCTGCAGCTGGAAACCTGTTGGTGCCACCTGCTTGGGCCTTTTATCTGCCCTGAATTAAGTCTGTCAGGTGTTCCCATGGTGTTCCATCCAAACAAGGTCCATATACAGTATTATGGTTAGTTTGAGGGTTTAAAATAGTTTTTGAAATTGTTTAGTAAGATCTAAACTGGTGGTACCTGCTGGGGGCAATAAGCTGGGGATTACTATCTGCTATACCTAGCAAGATAGCTTCAGAGGAACCTGATGTTCATTTCTAGGGAAGCCTGTTGACCGTGGCTCCTAACAGTAGTTGGTACCATTTTCAAGTTTTCTAATTTGACTATTTTGCAGAGGTACTGAGCGGACTGGACAGAACTACAAGCCCATGCAAGTATGATGTGACTGGTTTTATGTGCGTAGCTCGGTTCCTGGATTGATGACATCTGCTGGAAAACAGCTTTCGCTTTTGGCCTTGTACAAAGCGACATAAGAGTGAGGACACGTTCATTTTTCTTACTAATTACAAAGACACAGAGAGCATGGCTACAAACACCACCTAAAAGACAGAAAATGGTCACAGGTACACACAGAATGTAAAAACTCATGAACCAGAGGTGCTACATGTAGTTTTTCATGTCATTAAGTTACCAATGCTAGCATTTTTGTAATCAAACAAGGCCTCATTGAGGAAACAGCAATGCTAATGCTTTCCAAAGACAACTTATCTACTAAGCCTTTTTGCTTTTTGTCTGCAGCTCGTCGCCAACTTTGTCAGTTTGTTGTTTTGTGTAGGGCAGGTAGCGTCGGAGGTGTAGACTTGGACATGAATTGGACTTGAGATGATACCAAAGATAATTCTGATTCATTTTGTTGTTATGGCATTACATTTGGTGAATTTGGTGACTTGCTTAGGACTGAAAAAGTCAAAGTTTAGGACTTGGGACTTAAGTGCAATGACTTGGTCCCACCTCTGGGTAGCGTACCTGAGCCATATAAGCAAAACAATGAGCTATCAATAAGCTTGATAATTCTCTGTTGGCGACTGCTTTCATGCTATATGCCGTCATGTAATTCAGTCCGTCATAAATGGATAAATATAAAAAATGTTAAATGATGGAACTTTAATGGTAAAACGCTCCATGTAGCACCTGCACTCACCCACAACACAAACACATTATAAATGGATAAATAAATAAAATGTACAGGGTGCAGCACCTTCACTGCTGAAGTGCTCACACAGACAGCATAGGTGCTTCACATCCCTTCAGAAACCAGTCATACATTGCTGTCGCTGCTTGTGTAGTGCAAATATTCCTCCAGAGAGGCAACGGATGAAAGCATATTGCCTCCAGTTGTTTGTCAGGATAGCCGTACCCTACTGTGTCCTGTGTTTCACGTGTGTACATCTGGTATGGTAGTCCGCATATTGTGGACAGCATCATCAGAGGAAATTCCTTTGCGTTTCTTGTTTCAGTGGGAGTCAGAGCAAAGATGCCAATGTTTTAAGCTGCAGTTCTTCTACTGACCACTAGATGCTGGAGAGAGCCGAACACAGGAGGTATCCGGGAGGAGTCAAGGAGGTATCTGGGAGGAGTCAAGGAGGTATCTGGGAGGAGTCAAGGACAACCTCGTAACGCATAGAGCTCAACAGTGACCGCACACTTCTGGAACGGCTCTGGTTCCAGACGTTAATCATTCCCTCCACTGACTTTTCAGGAAATCCTCAAGAGTTATAAGCCTGGAACCAAGCCGACCAACTACGAGATGAACTGACCATAAAACATTTGGTTCGGAGCCAAAAAAACGGAAAAAGGTTTAATTACTATTAATTATTTTAGAAAATAACGACTCGTCTCATAAACCATTGTGAATGCTAGCTTAACTAAGACAACCTTTAGTGTTTATATTGTTAATAATAGTGTGGTAATATATTGTAGTTTGTGTTGTGTGCGTATATGTAGTGTAACAACATGATTTGTGTGACTCATGCAGTTTCATGTAGACTGATGTTAGCAGACAGCTAGCTCTACCAATCAGAGAAGTTGCTGTTACACTTTAGGATTGTGGGTATTAGCAGTATTTCAACATGAGGTCGCAGATAAAACACGTTTTTCTTTAAACAAGGTGGATATCATAAGAACTCGTGGCTCCTACAGCAGCATGTACCATCGTTGCACAATGTCATAGCTCGTGGAAAGTCTAGCTTGGATGGCTACGATAGTATGGCTAATAATCAAAATCCTCTATTCAGAATATGAATGGCATTTCTACTTCCAGAACCTCACTGTTGAGCTCTATACCCTCCAATAAGTAACTTCAGTCCAGAATTTCTATTCTGCACCTGAAATTACTTCTTTCTTCTCCTAATTTATCAGATGGAACATGGTGTAGTTGATAACTCTCCACAATAAAATACAGCTGCTAGCTTGCTGCTAACATTCTGGTTTTTGCACTTCCGTTCCTACTGCCACAATGACTTCCCACATTCACTTGAGTGGAGAATTTCAATAATCTGTGTGCACAAACAAATCATTTGAGTGTTTGTTGAGACAAATTGTCAGTCGGAGAGTACAAACTGATCGTTAGTGAGCCGAAAATCAAATGTGGCAGGCAGTGAAATTACATTCCAGGCTTCCAAACGCCCCTTCAGATACCTGTGCTGTAAGACTGTCTATGGGACTACCGGCATGTGAAGCTGTCTAATTATTTTATCCTGAATGGCTGCTTAAGGGGAAGACTTTGCTTCCATTTGATTCTCAGAGTACGATGTCAATGCAATATGGCCACCGAGCGATTAAAGCCTCATGCTATGTGCCACCTAGCTGGTGATTTTCTTGCGGGGCAGGTAGGAATTAGTGATCTGGTTCATCACTACCAGGGCGGGGAAGAGGGGCAGCAGGAAGAAGGCCCACCAGGCTACCCCTTTTACCGTGGCCTGGAACCAGTCCGAGAACATGGCCGACACCACGGTTACCGTGGCCAGCAGGTAGACCACCAGGCCGCATGTGGCGTGGTACAGCTTCAGCCTCGGCAGAGAGGAGGAGAGGCGGAGCAGCTTGGGGAAGATCACGCAGATACCGCAAGACGCTTGGAGCACGGTGGCGGCCAGGGTGCAGATGCCCAGCCAACTGTGCCAGGTGACCAGGTGGGAGTGCTCTGACACGTTCTTGCTGGCCACCATGAAGCCCATCCCAGTGGCAGCGGCTATCAGGACCAGAGCCTGACAGAACCAGTGGAGACGGACTTTACCCTTCCGAGATTTGAAGCAGAAGGGGGATCCTTCAGCCGAGAAGAGGAGGATGCCTTCAGTCATACAGAGGCAGTACTACAGAGGGAAGCAGGAGAAAGGTGTTCACAAAGGTGTTTACACTCTTTGTTAGCTAAGCAGGCAGAGACTGTGTAAAGGAACACAAAACAAGATTTCAGTGTAAGAAAATACAGGACCAGGTGGAGGCAGAGACACCACAAGCATCATTTCTGCTGGTTATGAGAACACAGTATTCCACCACTGAACAAAGTCGCCAACTCCTGCAACGTTTGATAATAACTACAGTGACCAGCTGTATCAGCTGCATTTTGAGCTTTACTGAACACAACTAGGCTTCATTATTAATAAATGAAGAAATGAATAAATGAGTGTGTGTGGTGGTTAACAAAGTGAGTGTTGGGTCCTAAATAGGCTTCCTTTGTATGTGCTTTGAATTAATTTCTGTGGAAGACAATCAACACATCAATCACAGATTAACAGCTCAAAGGGGAGAGTTGTTCCTGACAGGGGAGGCATGATGTTTGCACAGTAACTTATCACGGCTGACGGACTGCGATGACGCATCACGACTGACTCATCGCCCCATACTGCCACAGGGCATGACAGAGAACACCCCAACACCAACCTGTGAGCCATTTCAGTAGCTTATTCTAGGTCAGTTTGTAACACAATATGTGATGCAGTGATGCGACGCAGTCATTAGTGTCAGCACTCCATCCCCATCTATTATTCACAGTGGAAAGAAGGAGACACAGAGACCAGAGGGCGTGAGTGTAAAGGTACGCCAAGTGCTTATAGGAGAGTTCATTTTCAACTGAAGAAATACTCATTAAAATACCTGTTTTCTTCTCTAAGTATACACATGATCTAGACTCAGTGTCTGACAATATTATGGAAAGGATCCCTACAGAGATAGACCTTTAGTTTCACCACAAACAGCCATAATAACACTATCACATCGTCATTTTACCTCCCATATCATCATATGATTGTAGCTTCATTCAAAGTGGACAGAAACAAAATAAAACTCACCAAAACTGTCTTTGTAATTTATAATGATCCAATTTGATCATTAATTACTATGTTTAAACCTAAAAATAAAACAATTACTCAGAGGGGAACCCCGAAAATCTTCTAAGATTGGCAGTGTGCATATATTGTGGGATTCCTTGACATGAAAAAGTTTGGGAACACGTGGACGTTTTTTACAGTTTCCGCAACACAACTGCAATTTGCCATACGTATTCCACAAGGGTACTGAGAGGAGGGACAAAGTCTGCTAGTTGTAACACAATTTTAAATCGTCATCTTTCCTGCCTACATCTCAGCCTTCTTATAAGATGTTATAAACATCTTAATATAAAATACATAAATGTGAAACGATCGGTTATCTTGTCTGTATGGGCCACAAGGAGCAGGTAATTATTGGTTATCGGCTGACAAAAATCCAGATTGTGCATCCCTAATTGCTTATTTACTGAAATAATGCTGCATCCAAACCCATACAGCACTGCAGCTCTACATAGAAAACAGAGTTAAGGGAACTGACCAGTCAACTGGGGACAGCTTCTGTAATTGGGTTAGTAAAGGTAGTAGTAGTAGTTAAAGTTGTGGTTAGGGTTAGTCACCAGGAAATGAATGTCTCCAAAAGTGACATAAGTAATGTGTAGGACTGTCTAGAGACTGATCAAAACACTGCCACGGTTAGTCAGAGTAAAAAGTGAGAGGACAGCAGAGTGTGCAAGCTGTGACAACTGAACTCTTCATCACATCAGACTACTGAAGAGAAGAGAGGACCTTTCACTGTGTGTGTGTGTGTGTGTGTGTGTGTGTGCATAAGAGAGTCATACATGGACTTTGAACTTACTGCGACAGACATACACACTGGATGCCAAGAAAACAGACCTGGAAGAAAGAGAAACACCAGTAAGTATCTTACAATCCAAAACCACCAAAAGAAAATGCATGGCAGCCATCAAACTGTTGGGTGATCACAAAGATAACAGTGCCTTCACATCTGAGCAGGAGGTAGGGTAGGTTCAGCGGGGCTCGCTATAACCTTTTCTTTCCACCTAGTTTCTATTGCTGGCATTCAAACTAAAACCAAAATGATGATCACATGATCCAAAATCTGATAACACAGCTGAAGGAAACAGCAGGAGCAGATTTCCCGCTGGCTGCACATTAAATCAGACAATATTGACTGCTCTAATCATCCCAACTGACCTACAGAACAGTTTTGGGGACCGATAGAAGGAGCCAGAGGAACCTGATTGTTTCACAGATTATCTGTCTCCTGTAGTACTGTCAGGATACAGTGACAGTTTCAGCAAATATGACAAAAAGTTACCAACTGCAGCTTTAATGTACCTTTTCACTACCATTTAAATGTCTTCAGTTTGCTATAGACATGCCGTACACTTTAATTTGTATAGCACTTTGGGAATAAGTGCATGGTAGAACAGGTTTTGTCTAAGCCCCGCCCCCAAATGTTTCCATCATCTGGCTCCGCCCCCAATTCACCTGCAATAAATATCCTGTGAAGCATTAAATGCCACACTGTATCTCCACAATGTGTTATTAGGAGGAGAATCCTTTTTTATAATGAATAAATAAAAATAAATAAATTAAAAGCACTTGGTACAATTTACAGCCATTAAACAACAAGATAACCATCTCTTTACACTACGGCAGTTTTAATGAAAATGTTAAGGTAGATGAGTATGAGTGATCTGGTCTGTATCCATGGATCCACTCACTGGTTCCGGGCCTGGACAGCAGGGAGATGATGAGGGTCAGTCCCAGACCGGTGACATGAGCCGCTACCACCGCCGCCCTCCGCAGCCACACATAGAGCCAGTACTCCCGCATCCCCAGCCCCTCTCCCACCGGGCTGTACTCCACATCGGACCGCATTCCGCCGCTGAGTTGAGCCACCTGCGCGGCTACCTGCGGACTCCGGAAGCTGCGCTGAAACGGCGAGACGAGGCGCGTGCTGTGTGGGGACACCGCGCGAGCTCCATAATTATTTGGATAGGGATGAAGAACCGGACAGCCACAGGGCAGACGGGCGAGCTGCTGAACATGACCTAAAGATACACACAATGACGACACATAGTACTTCCGGTTTGTAGTTTTTCAAACTCCACGTCTAGTTGGTAATAGTTAATTTCCTTTTTTTCAGTGGGTTATAAATGACTACATTAATAAAACATTACAATACAAATATGTATAGGGACTGTTACATTTTACTTGTTCAACAATATATCCTTCCGCCATGTAGTTTATGTTGTCCTGTTAGGGGTTACCTTTGTCTCCCAAAGTCCTCCATTTTGGATTGGCAATCTTAGTGCAATGAGTTCAAGGCTGTTTTAAGAGGGTTGGTGGTATGGTTCAAAATCTATTAACTTCCTGTTGTAATCTTGGCTAAATTGCGCCGACTTGACGACAACAAATAAAGCGGGCTGTAATCCCTCCGAGGCAAGTGCGGTCCGACTATGGATTAAGAAACTAGGTCGTCCCAGTGTCTCGGTCGGAGGCAGAGACAGCGGCAGCAGCAGTGGACACTGTGCGGTCCCTCCTCCGGTCTCATACACTACCGGCTAGAGCATCTCCCGCGACATCTTCTGAAAGCAGAGCTCGAGCCCCAGCAGTGACAGGCGACCGTGACACTGTTACTAAATCATAATCTAGTCAACCACCAACTTTCTCTACTGACGGCTTTTGTTTTGGTTTCACTTCCTGGTTTGAATCTGCCGAAGAGTGTGAAAGGAGTGAGATGATTCACTTGTTTCCGGCTTCATTTCAGTGCTCGCTTGGTGTTTAGTTAGACGGCGGTCTGATTACCTCCTCACATATAAGCACTAATAACTATACTTCATGTATTATAATTAATAACAATACTTTATTGACCGTCAGTATGAGGGGCAAAACCAGGGCAAAGGGCACCATATCATCCAGAGGTTGAATGTGAAGACTATATTTAAAGTACAAATGTAATGTACTCCACTTTTAAATAAACATTAAAGGGCTTTAAAAAAACACCAGTTACCATCATTATTATCCTAAAAGAACATTCCTTCTTTAGTATGTTATGACCCCCCACCCCCCTTTTTTTAAGCAGCAGCCAATTTGACACAATAGTAGGATAAACACAGGTGTTACCAATGACACAAATTTAGGTTTGAACAGCCAAGGTTCTGCTATTGTGCATGTTGGCTCACTGGAAAGACTAACGGAACCTTTGAATTGAAATTGAATTAATTGAACCTCAATATAATTCATAATGCCTGTGTTTACCCTTCTATTTCATGTTTGTTTTTGTTACCTTAGAATGAGCTGTGTTATCAATACAGAGAGCGGGTCACCTTTCAGTTGAGTCCACGCTTTACAGTACAAAAAACAAAACACTGGCTCTAGATCGGCCAATCGCAGCCACCGTAGTTTCTCCCTTGCACTTGGAAAGGGAGGGTGAAGCTAGTGAGTTGCAATCTGCAACCACACTGCAGGATGCCACTCAATCCTACACACTGGTCCGTAATGTTCATCATTTTAACCTTGTCAAAGCTGCAAAACTCAGATGCATTCAGAGATGTTTTTATTTTGAGATGTCCAATTGTATTGTTTTTTCCCAGTTAAAAATAATTACTGCTGTTGCGGCTGGCGTCAAATTATCTTAACATGCTAGATGCGAAAGCAATCAGAGGCTACCTTACTCTGTGCTCTCTTGTTGTGTACCCAGGCAATGTTCAAACCTAAAGTGGATGTGTATTTTAAGTTCTACTGGGGATCCAAAAGTTCATGTCAGGCTGAATTTTGGGGAAATTTTGAATAAAACAAGGCAGAAAACATTTCACTGACTGTGAGCATCATTTAGGTAAAACCAGACGTCAAATTTCTTGTATGTGTGCAAATACCTGGCTAATAAAAGTGATTCTGATTGAGTGTGTTGGAACAAGCAGACTGAACATTACTGGGAGACTGTCATACACTGTTAAGAGTTTACTAAACGTTAAGAAAATGGGCCACAGAAACCAAGTGTAAAGGACATTTTTAATCCATTTTTATAAACCAACATATTTAATTTAGCAGCATAACCGGATGGTCTTGAGGTATTTCTAAATCCATACTCTGAATTTTATCCCACCCTCCCACTCCCAGTTCTCCCTCAGACATTCATCCAAACAGATTCACACACCAACAGATCCAACTCTGCACATACAACCTGACACACTCATACTTGAGCGTTTGCTCAATAGACAAAAGGCAGGCAGACACACACACACAAACACACACACACGTTTGAGTCCTGTTGCCTCAGTCTTGGACTGAGCAGAGCTGGCTCCCTCATAGTGGCTTGTAAGGCAGGCACACTTAATGGTGCAGTTTTGGCTGTGGGACAAAAGAAAAATTGGAAATTGTTACTTCCATTTTGATAACTGGTTTGTATATTCACTACAGAAATGTACAAAATTGGGTACAATTAAACAACGTGACATACATGATGTCAGAAAAGTCAGAATCAGAAGATGAATCAGATGGCTGGAGAAGACACTTCCTTTATGTTAAGCTCATGTTTAAAACCAGACAATTTTTTTCAATTTTTGGGTTTGGGAGAACTGTAACAAAATCTGAGTGTACCTTTAAATAAAACTAAGTCACTCTATATTCTGGTTAGCTTTCAATTTAAAATAGCTGATTAAGCTTCAGCTTCAAGCTGCTATTAACTCCAACAGCGTAACCGTGTGGTAGAACAGTAACATGTTCTTTTTGTATTGCTGTCCGTCTATCATCTGTGAGTGTTACCATGGAAACACCGCTCTAAACTGAGAGATAACTTCGGGCAGGGCTGCCTAAAGTTTTCCCACCAGATGTTTATAGCAAAAGAATATTTTTTATAATCTGAGCACAGTGGGCAGAGTGAAGCACAGGAAGTTTTCACAAGTTACAACTGACCATTCTAAAGTCCCGCCCCTTTTTGCTCTGTGCACCAACAACAGTTGAGCAAGCCTCGGTCAACTTTCTCCTTTCCTGTATTTAGACACGCTATATGTATGAAAGCATCTGCATATTTCTCCACTCATTCATTCAGGTTTTTCTTTCAATTTGTCACAGGTCTGTATATATAGTTAGATCTTAAATTAGCCAATGTTAGCAAAATGTTAGCTAACTAACAATTGATGTAAATTAGCTATCTAGCCAGCATTGTGTTACCGTTTGCTTTCAAGTGTAAATAGCTAGCCAATGAGTATTGAATGTTATCTAGCTAGTTAGCCAGTGTTTTGCTCGGTAGCATGACCCTTGCTATCTAGCTCGCTAAAAATTAGCTAGTTAGCAAGTGTTTTGGTCAACTTGCTAAATTAAGATCTTTTATCTTTTAACCATCTTCAAAATGGGATCTTCTTTTTGACACAAACCAGCCTAGCACATAGCATATCTAAGTACAGGAAAGAAGAAAGTTGACCGAGGTTCTGACCGAGGGTTGCTCAACCAAAAAGGGGCGGGGCTTAAGAAGGGTCTAACGTGAAAACCAGCCCACAAAGCACCAACCACATGTTGACAGTGATTTTCATGTAATTCTAATATATTTTTTTAAAACATTATGTAAAATTAGTTAGAACAGGTATCTTCTTTTCCCCAAACATAACTGTCCTCAGAAAATGTGTTACTAACAACTATGTTTTTGAAAGGTGGCTCTGAAAAGTTTGTAGCTTGCCCTGTCGCAGAAGACAGCAGCTGTAGAGAACATAGATTCACAACAGTTAGCAATGTATTCCAATGAGGACCAAAGATTGTTTGATTATCAAAACATAACTTAATTGACAGGTTAACCTCTACGTGGTTAATGTTTGTTTATGCCTACACCTGCATTTGACTTTTTCAAGGATATTTTGGGGAACATACAATAGAACTGTGTCATATGGGCATGGAAACCAGTTAACCGTTTGTTTCTTCATCGAGGTAAAGGAAGCAGCCACAGGTCATGAATAGGTGGTAAGAAAAGAAAAACAATCAGGATCAGTGTTGCATTTGTCAGATTGGCAGGGTTCACCATCTGTCTCTTCAGGGCCTGTAGAAGCTTTACAGCAGCTGTTAGGTCAACTCTACAACTTTAAACTATCAAATAATGTTTCCTGTCCTCCAAACTCACCTTCTGTGTGCCCAGTTTCTTCTCCACGCCCCCAGCCAGCCCCCCGCCTTTACTATCCTTCCAGGGGTAGAAGTTAGAGCGTGGAGAGGAGGTGGTGGTGGAGCTGGAAGAAGAGGAGGGCAGGCGGTGCGCTGAGGGTTTGGAGGAGGGCGAGTGTTCCTCCATGCTGCCCCCCTTGCGTTTCTTCACCAGCCCATGGTGCTCAAAGCCCCTCCCGCTGCCTTGCCCGTGCAGTCCTGAGTCCCCCACGCCGCCCCGGCTGTGGGAGTTGTTGGTGGCGGAGGAGGGGTCTGGGGGCGAGGAGTGGCCCAGAGGAGTGTGTGTTCGTCTGTAGGTCCAGACTGCCTTGGCGGCTGGTGAGTGGGACT